CCACCTATAGCTGTGTTCTTGCTTCACAGGTTGACAGGTTCAAGATGAGTCCCCTGGTTTATCAGTTACTTTCACCTAACACTGATGTTTCCAGCACGTTTCTTAGACCTGGTCTCCTATGGGGTGGGGGAAAGACAGACGAGGGATGGGGATAGGGGGGAGGGAAGGCAGACAAGGGATGGGGGCACACAGGGAGGGGGCGACACACAGGGAAAGAGTGAACATTACTGAATTACACCACTAGGGGGAAGCAGTGGGCAAGAGGAGGGGCCCACTACACCTTATGTGGGTTGGCTCCCGGGCCAGGTCTCGAACTCAGGCTGTAGCAGCTGCGGTAGCACGTAGCACTGAGCCTTAACCCGCTAGGCCACGGGGGAGGCTCTTCTCACCACCCTGCTTGTAAGGCTACTAGTGCTTCTCTGGAGGGCGCGTCTGCTTTGGCAATGGTGCGGTGATGCAAACGCCTCAAAACGCCTCATAAACTCGGCATCTGCAGGTGTAGCCCATGTCCTGAGCGGGCAGTGAGGGGTAAACAACACGGTCTGGTATCTGCTCGTTAGGAGCCTGCACTCAAGTGGGTCTCAAGTTTACAGACATGTGGCCTGTAACCGCTGCCAGCAGGTGCTAATATGCATTGCGGCTCCCATCTGGGGGTGCCAACTAGCGTGCACGGCGGGTGGGGCTTCCCCTGGTGCGGGCTGGACCCGACGACCTTAGGGCCTGCACAAAGGCCACCGGGGACCACTGCAAGGCGAACCCGAGGGGCGGCCGGGACGCCCCGGCACAGGCCCCCAGGTCCCACAAATACACGTTTTCCTCAAGTTCACATGGGTTATTTTCCAGGCTCAATCAATGCTGGGTCACAAGGCAAACAGGTATATGAAGACTGAAATTATACCAAGTACTTTCTCTGCCATAAAGGTGTCAAACTAGAAATTAACTACCAAAAGGCGGCAAGGAGTTCCCTCATTATTTGGAGACTGAACAAAATACTACAGACAGTCCACTGGATTAATGATGAAATCAAAGAGTAGAAATACCTTGAGGCAAATGATAATGAGAACACAACCTTCAAAATGTATGAACACAGAAAAAAATTAATAGCACTTGGACAATGAGCAACTCATGAAAACATGGTATTCAACCAAAGTGATATGTCATGGGGATGCATTTTTAGAATTATCTAGATATTTTTAGAAAAAGTAATTTTAGAGATTAAAAATATATTTAGAAAGAAAAGAATGCTGTTCTATCTATCTGAAGCTTAAAATAAGAAAATCCAGAGATTTTTAAAAAGTAACAAATTAGTAACAAAATATACAAATATGGAATAGCACATCTAAAACTTGTGCTCTGAAAATATATCAACACAGTTAAACTGTATTGATATATATTGATATATAATATATATCAATATATATCAATATATTATTATATATCAATATATATCAATATATATATCAATATAAATATATATTGATATATATGTATATCTAATAAATATATATGATAATTTAAAAAGTAGACATAAAAAGGAATGTAAAACAAAAAATAAAAATGGCAAAAACTTTATTATAAACTTCAATGAAATGCATAAATTCATAGTAAAAGGTAATGTTTTCTTCAGTTATATAATTATACCTGTATTCTTTCTGATTATTTAAAATAATTTTAGAGTCAACACCCTGTGCTTACCATATATATGATAAGTATTTTAATGAATTTCTCTAGAGTTTTGCTAAAACCTGTTTAAAGACCTAGACATGAGTCTAATAAAGTAAAAAGACAATTATGTTCACTAGCTCTTCTAACAAAATAAAACTTGTTCTTAGAAAAAAGGAAATCTGACATAAGCAAGAAAGTCAGCAAATAATGCTAATGTTATATTTCATAATTTTAAGAGAAATTAAACCGTTTTATAACAATTTGATTCTCGAACTATTAAAGCCTTTAGATGAGTTCAGTTTTTCATCTTGATTGTAAATCTCTTCTAGTTTTGCTTGTAATATGTATTCATTAAGATCTAATTTACCTATATCATTTTGTTTCTGCACTCAATCTGTTCATCATATTCTAGAAGTAATGAAAACATGGACATTGTTCTAAAGAGCACAAATTGAATTTTTTGACAGTTTTGACAAGGGCTGCCTCCTGGACCAAAGTCTTTTTTCCAGGTTTGTTGAAATATAATTGACACATAACATCGCACAAGTTCAAGGTATACAAAGTTTTGATTTCATACACTTATAGATTGTAAAAAGATTACCATCACAGCATTAGCTAATTCCTTCACCTTGGAAGTTTGTACCACTTTATACCATGTGACCAACACTTCTCTATCCCTTCAATAACCATCACACTACTATTTCCTTGAATTTGGCTTTATTTTTTGTACTTCCCATAGAAGTGATTCCATATATATCTGTCTTTCTTACTTATTTTACTTAGCATAATTCCCTCAAGTAGTTATATCCACGTTCAGGCAGATGGCAGAAAATCCTTGTTTCTCATGGTTCAATAGTGTGTGTGTGCACACGCATGTACATGTGCACATACAAACATGGACTCACATAGTCTTTATCTGTTCACTCATCCACAGTCACTTAGGTTGTTTCCTTATTGTGCCTATTGTGAATTATGTTGCAATGAATGACATGAGGGGTGCAGGCATCTCTGAAATGTTATTTTTATTTCCTTTGATATATACCCTGAAGTAGGATTCCTGGATCAAATAATAAATTCTATCATTAATTATCTGAGGAACTTCCACATTGCTTTTCATAATTGCTGTACAAATTATATTCTCAACAACAGTGGACAAGTATTCCCTTTTCATCACATCTTCCCAAGACCCTAACTATCACTTAGTGGCTACAAATCCCCCAATTCGCTTTACCATGTTTGGAGCTCAAAGTCTTTCCCTATCAAAATGGCCTTAAATAAAATCTTCTGTACTAAACTTTTTGACAAAAAATACTAATTATCAGCACAAAATGTTTAGTTTTACATCTCTACTTATGAGGACAGGTTAAAGAATCAGTTTTTTTATATATACATCAGATTCTTTTCTATTCATCAAATGTGAGAGCTGATTCAGATATTATAGTTATGAAGCTGAATACAGAAACTAGCTTTAAAACTAGCAAGTTTTAAAACTTTTAATGAAATTCTAAGTGTCCCACAACAGATTAGTGGATGATGAAAATGTGGTATACACACACAACGGAATATTACTTAGCAGTCAAAAATGTTAAACTCATGCCATTTGCAGCAACAAGCATGAAGTTGGAGAGGATAATGCTAAGTGACATAATTCAGGACAATGACAAATACCAGATGGTGTCACTAATATGTGTAATATAAACTAGATTAAAAAAACAAGCTGAAAAGTTAACCCTTGATTGCTGACTGCAGAACTGAGACACCAAGGAAGGAGGTGTTGGGTGAAGGGAAAGAACAAAGAGGAAAGAAACATAATGGTCTATGATGGTGGAATATGGGCGAGTTTTTGGTGGGTGCACTATGGTGCATCCTAATATTACCTAAGTTTAAAGTAAATTTAAAAAAAGCCAGGTGATGGTAATTATTAGCATTAAATGAAATGAAGCAAAGTGCTTTGAAAATAAACGGATTAAGGTGGAGGTCCCCTGGTGCCCTTGTGGTGGATATGGTAGGATAACACACACCTGGAGGGTGTGATCTTATACCTTTAAATCATATTGGAAACCAATGTTATCTTAGTAAATGCGGAAAAATAATCCTACTTCCTCACTCTAGTAACAGGACTGAGGGGTTTGTGTTGATTATTAGATTTTTAGTACAAAAAGGATGTGGTTATAAATGAAGTATAGTTTTAGTCATTGATGTAGTCTATTAATTGGGGGAGTGGTTGTCTGTAAAGGGAAAATGGGGTATTTTCAAAGGAACAGAAAAAGGCAGAGAAGGTCTTTACACAGGAAACAAAAAATTAAAATAAGTTATTTGAGTGAATATTTGTCTTCAAAAATAAACCATCCCACAGATGTAAACACCTTGAATAACATATTCAAGCACTCAGAATAGAAATAGTTTCCTGGATCTCTCAGGACCTGGTAAAAAATCTGTGTCCCCAGTAGCAGGAATGGAAAAACCCTTAATAAGGGGATTCAAGAAGTGTTCTCAAAATGGTATTGCCTCAGTAGTGGGGCCAAATTATCCAGAGGTGAAGTCTGTTCTTTAATGGTTTCAAAAATTCTTAACAAATCTGCAAAGCATCAACATATTCAAATAACCCAAAAGCATCACAGAGCAAAACCAAGCATTACTGAACACAAAATTATCAATAATTCAAAACCATCCTCCAAATATTTTAAGGAACATAAATTGCTAGCACCCAACAATGTAAAATGCACAATGCTGGTCTCTACCTGGGATTTTCAGGCGCATAATGGAACAGAGAAATACAGCTCACCACTAGCAGGGAAATCAACCTAGAGACCTCAAAATGACACAGACAGTAGAATGATAGCAAAGGACTTTTAAGACAGGCCTGAGAAAATGGACTCCCTTTTGACAAGGTGGGAGAGGAAGCAGGAGCTTAAGGAAGATACTGGAAAGATAAAAACAATCTAAGTGGAACTTCCAGACATGAAAAATCACATCTAAAATATACAAGCACACGCACAATCCCATTGACAGGAGGAATCCATGAAGGGATATTCCATCAAACACAGTTGAGAGGCGGCACAGAAACACTTATGGTCATGTATCCAGGAGCTGGTGCTGCGTTTATTCCCAGCTGAGATTACAACTGTGGATCCCCAGTCAAGGCAGAGACCACACCGTGCCTTTTGCCTGTCAGGGAAGTGAGTACAGTAATAATACCTTCCCTCAGGCTTTGTTAATGTTTGTAAGGCACAGAGATGTTGGCAGGATATGCATCTTAATGACCGTAAAAATGCTTCTGAAAGAAAAGTAAATCATCCTACACCTCACAAGAAGCAGGCTTTCTCCCAACTTACCTCCTGAGTGGTGTCCACAGGTGCTAACCTCGGGTGTGCAGAGTTCTGGTACTTTCTCTGTTCTGCTGGAGTTTAGGGGAGCAACAAGTTCCCAGGGTAGAGAAATGCGTTTGCTCCTCTCTGCTCCTGGAAGTTTCTGAAGCCCATGCAAGATGCAGCTTCAGATGAAAGTCTTGGATCTGATTGCTCCTCCCCCTCTGGCTGCCAATCCTCCAGCTAGCTCATGCTCCTCACATAGGTCTCAGCTGTGGTGACTCCAAGGCTAGAGGCCTCCCAGACAGCAGCATTGCTCAAAAACTTTCCCTGATGTTCTTTCCTCTTCTTTGACAAAGAGTTTGTAGATACAATTTATTTCCCTATCCAGTGTGACTCTCCTACTAGTCTATACATGAGAAATCAGGGCTTCCATTTGCAAGTGAATTCATCTGTTAATAGCTTTCCAGGCCTGATACTACAATCAAATATGCTGGAAGCATTTTGAACACCAATTCCAGCGATTCAGACTTAATTACTTTGGGCTGGGTTCCAGGCATTTGTGTTTTTGAAAAACTCTGTCGGTGGTCGTGACTTGAAGCCTTGGTTGAGAACTGCTGCCTTAGAGGAACATGACCTGCTTTGCCAAGTGCTGTCCCAGAGTCCGTGGCCTCCTTGGCCAAGTCCCACCTCACTATGCTCCAGGGACGTGGGACTTCAGCATGAGTCACAACCAGGCTGCAGATTAAATCCATCTGGAGAGGGTTTAATCTTCCCGATGAGGACCCCTTTCCAGAGAATCTCCATTAATGAAGAACGTGGTCCACACAACAGTGTTTCCGAAGTTTTTGAGTGGCTCCAATCCCCCATCAACGTAAAGAAACTACTCGTAAAAATGGTCTGTTGGGGGGCCTCCCTGGTGGCTAAGGGGTTAAGACACAACCTATGACACTGTCTGCAGCCTCTACAACACAAGTTTGATCCCTGGCTGGCCAGGGAGCAACCCACATGGTGCGGCAGACAACTCCTGCCTCGCCCTGATTGTGGACACCTGGAGTATGGGTGGGGACATGCTTTAAGGATGACCTAGAGACTATGTGTATTCAATGAAGTCACACTTAAAAGAGCCCACACTTATTTTAACACTCTGGTGTAAACATCTTGAAATTCTTTTTTCCCCTTCCAATTATGTTTATTGAGATAAAGTAGGTTTATAACCTTATATATGTTTGGGGAGTTATAGGTTCAAACCTCTACAAATGGGTACTTTCATGCCTGCCCCCTACCAGTGCCCAACAATCCCTCCACCATGCTCCACTAGAGTGGGGGAAGGAGGTGTAGGGTAAGGTAAAAGTATCAGACTTTTCTGCCCTCCTGCCATTACGATAGATGAACCCTGTGGTCCTGAATGCATGCCTGATGGTGGGCACCTGGAGTAGGGTGTGGGCATAGGTAGATGGGATTCACCTGGGCTAAGACTGGGTTTTAAGGGCGGCGTCACAGGGACACCAGCAGAAGCCGAGAAGCAGAATGAATAGTAGAGCAGAGAACAGCACTATGAGAAGAGCAGAGAGAACACCAGAAAACACCTGAGAGCCCAGAAAGTGTGAAGACTTGCTAGGGACTTGCTAGGCCTCTCAGCCCCCCAGCACCCCTGCCTGCCGTGTACCTGATAAATCCAAATAAAAGCCTGCAAAAGTCACTGAGGGCTCCAGGACTCTCTCCTCCTTTATCCAGTCTGGTCTGCATAGGATCAGAAAACCTGCTCTGTGGCCTTCCTGCCCCTACAATGTGACATCACGAAACATCTTGAAACAATTTTTACACAAGTCTTAATATTTACACACACTTTTACACACGCTTAATTTTTACATTTTTGGAAAGGCAGACGTAGACCTGTCACTTTGTTTACCTGTCTCTGTGCCATGGGACTGTGCAGTGCAGAGGCAGAGAGTGAAGATGGTATATGATGATGCCAGTCAATTAGGGCTTAGTAGGTTATAGTCTCCTGGTATTTATTTCTTGCTGCTGTCATGGTGGTTTCGTCATTTTTCCTGTAGGTCTAGTGCTTGTGAACAGGAGAGAGTAGGTAACTGATTTGAACTATCAGAGATCATTTTCTAAAGAAAGAAATTCTTTAGCCCAGTCAGTTAAGAAGATGGGCATTCAACTTGGAGGGGATGGCAAACACAAAGGTATGAAGGTCTGTAATCAGATAGGCAACGGTGAAGCAGCGTTTGATCACAGGCATAGATTTGGATGAATCTGGGTTAGAATTTTACCTCTTCTAGCTGCATGAACTTAAATAAATCACCTTTCTTCTGTGTGTCTTCATTTCTTCATCTTTAAAATAGTAGATAAACAGTACCTACTTCACAGGGTTATTTAAAGAAAAGAGCAAGTTTCTATGTGTAAAGTACATAGAAGGGCATCTGTAATTGCAAATGCCTAATAGATAATGTATTATTACCCAGAGAAATCTGAGACTGACAAGAGATTTCAAATAAGTGGACAAGGGCCAGTTCATGGAGGATTAGTCTGCTTTGCTAAAGATCCTGAACATGATCTTGCAGGCAGTGAGAGACCATTAAATTGTTTCAAGCACAACTGTGACATGATCTGACCTGACTTCTAGAAATTTGCTATGACAGAATTATAGAGTCATGAAGAATTGGGGAATAAAAGTTGACTGCCAGTTTCTGTTTCTATCCCTACTGGCACACCTGACAAAGACAATTTCAATTTCTAGCATAAGCAATAGTCAGCATTTGAGCAGATAAATTTTCAGCTCAAGAAAGTGCCTTCCGGCTACAGCATCTGTCTCAGGAGGCACCCTGGTGAAGACTCCGACATAATTCACATTCTAAACACCACTTACACCCTTCACCCAAGAAGGACTCAAACTATGCTCTACATTGCCACCCCTTATTAAATGTCTTTTTCAAACCAACTTCAGGTTTGTGGCACAGAGATAATCCCCTACTGAGGGCTTTAACACAACCAGGCCCGTGATGCCATAGATGTCCTCACCATTTGAGGGAGATGCCAGAGGATCTTTGGAGGCAGACCTGTCAAACTCATTGTCATTCACAGCAGATGTAATGGCAGCGAATAAACAATGTTTATTGTACTCCCACTGTGCTTAGAGACAAGAATAGGGCTACAGAAAATTGCCACAAGGAAGAAAGCAGTGGGAGATGCTAGTACCTCTTGGGTAGCGACTGACACTCCAGTAGATAGTGTTAGCTCTTCCAGGCCATTAAGAATCATTCAATACAAATAAAAATGTGACTTGTAGATGGCATCTCTGTCAATTTGCAAGGTGTCTGACAGCTAGGAATCCATCAGGCATTGGACAATTGCAGAGTTCTGAATTCTCTTTCTGAATCAAAGAAATTACCAATTAGTCCTGTGTGATCCATTATCTTTGGATTTCAATTTGGCTTAATTTACTCAGTCTTCACTTTGTAAACAACTATTTCCAATAGTGAGAAACACTTTTTTGAATGTTATAATTCATTTTTAAAACTTTCAATAACATCAATACTAAATATGATATTCCCTCCAGCAGTTTGGGAGATTTTGTTTGTTTTGTAAGATAAACTGTTTTGAACTCTCATAAAGGGAAAAATAGTGCATATAATAAAAGAGTATTTTGAAGGTATATTTCTCTTAATGTTTTTCTGGCACCATCCATTCCATTATTTAAGATAGTCTTAAGAAAAAAAAAAGCTATAAACATTAAAAATGAGCTTTTTCACTATATGTAAAACTTTCATTATCTTTTTTGACAATTTTTTGAGTCTATAAAAGTCATCTAACATAATAATAGTATCTCATTGTCAATCACTAAATAGTATTGAACTTTTGTGTGTGGTTACCTTGTGTGTGCATTTTGAGTTTTCCTTTTTTTCCCCTCCAAATATAATTCCCCACAGCCATTCTATAATTATATTTATAAAGATAGATGAAGGACCTTGTTACAGATCTCAACCATGTCCAAAAAATGAGATTGAACAGGGTGTCAGATTATTCAACTCTTCTGAAAGAGAAACATTCTGGAGATCCAGTTTGTGTGACAACAACATGCATTTAACAAAACAAAAAATAATCAATTCTATGCCAGTGACAGGAGGTGATTCAGTTAGCTGGCTGGCAGTAAAGGTTGTTTAGCAGGTTTCAGATTCCTAATTGGGTGTCTAGCTTGCTAAGTAGCAGCTGGTCTTTAATTAGTTGAAAAATTATTACCACTAAGAATTGCTTTAAAAAGAAAAAGAACAAAATAATTAAAATGTTAGAATCCATATGGTGGGTGCTTATCCTCACTTGTCAATAGCTGTTTTCCTTCTTTATCACTAATAAGTTTAAAAATATTCTTATGCCACTTACTTTTGAAAGTATAGCTCACATAAATGTAAAATCCCCAAAAACTCCCACAGTGGAATAGTAAAAACAATCAGAACAAAACAAAAAACATAGCTGCTTGCCATTTAATAATTATTTTTGACTATGAATTATCTCGGATATCCCCAGACCCATGGATTGAATATCTAATTGATAATTACATCTTACAGCGGTCCTCATTATTAAAGGAATTAGTAAATTCCCTGACTTAATCTGCAAAGATACATTGACAGTGAACATATCAATACCAATATCTTACAGATGACAGGAAAATTGCCTTTACATACAGATTCCACATAATGATTAGCAGGAAGTCAGTATTGCCAAGAATTACAGGGAACCTAAATGTATTAAGATTTTATAATTATATTTCTACTTTTTTTAGAGATAATTTTTTATGAAACTTTGTTATTTAGAGAAACTACAGGCTACATATATACTGAATATGATATGAAAATCTACATTTAATTATACACATAAAACCATGATCTTATCTCCATACTATGACAAAGCTGTTTTGCCTGCATGTTACTACTAAATATTACCATACTAAATATTAATCTTTTTGCTCCTTAGTTTTACTACTTGAGTTGGAAGGTGGAAGTGTAGTAGAAAGTGTATGTTTTAGTAGTACTGGATTTAGTAGTACTAGATTTAGTAGTACTGGATTCAAATTACACATCTCTCTTTTACTAAGCTAATGTGTTTTAACACATCTTTGGCTCTATTTTTTTCTTCTACGATGCAAGAATAATA